ACTCGTCGAGTTCCTTCATCCAATTCACATTCAGCTCACTCCAGTCGAGTTCATAGCTCCAAACTCCAGATCTAGCTTTCTAGAGTGAAGTTACAACGTAAAGTTGCCAACTTTATGTGCATGCAAGGTCTCAAAAGGCTTAAAACACCAAAACTAAGTATATGAAGAAGTTTAGGGCATGAAGAAGGGCCAAAGCTTCATAAACCTTGAGTCTTTATGTCAAAGAGGGCCAAGAGGAGTCTAGATCCAAACCATATCCTTGTGACAAGCTCAAACCCGAGAATGATCCCCATTTTACACCAAAATGCCGATAAAGTTATATAAGAAGAGATATAAGGAATGAAAAGTCAAGGTATTAGCTTTATACCTCATATTGGTTGCCAACACTAAGTCGATAATGGATCTACAACCTTCTTCTTGATCCAAGCTCCTCAACCTTCAAGCTTCTTCAAGAAATGCACCAAAAACACACTTTTAGCCTCACACACACTCAAAATATGGATTTGTTTGCTTAGGATTTGCTCTTTGGACGTGAAAGTGGCAACGATGGCTGGGGGAAAAGACTTAAGGTCCTTTAAATAGGATATAGACCCTAAAATTTAGGGTTTCCATGCATAACCTCTACTCATCGAGTTGGGTCCACCGACTCATCGAGTATATTCTAAAATCCACGCGGCTTGATCAATTTCTTCACGACGAGTTGGGGCAACCAACTCATCGAGTAGGTTCTAAAATGTGAAATTAAAAGCTTTAAAATTTATACATGGGAGTCAGGATGTTACACAAATTATGAAATAAAAGAGGATACATACAGTAGCTACAGTTACTGAATCTGAATATGGCAAGTTCCATTTTCACTTTTAGTGTAATCACCACTCTCCATAAAAACACTTTTCACCCTTTCTCCTCATTCTCCTGCACCACCACCGTATCACTGCCAAAACTCACCGCCGTTGATGGGTGTTTCTCTTCCACTAATCACAGTTATCTTACATCCGGTAGCTAGATTACTCATTGTTGTACCAAGTCAAAGATGTAAGTCCCTCCGTCCTCCGGGCCACCCCTTCTCTATCTTTATACCTTTAATCTCATACTTCAAACAAATTATTAGAGCTTTGAATCGAAATATTTTTCAATAAAACGTTTTTGGGTATTTAAAAAAATGTAAATGTAAGAATTTTTTAATTTAAATATATTTTTTTGAAATAATAATTTTTTTAAGAGTCAAAGATAAACCAAATGAACTACATAAATCGATGTTAATCATCAATGAATTCTATACACATCACAAATGGTCCAACAAATTCGGTAGAGTAGAGTCAAGTCAAAAAATGATCGCGTAGGATAAATAATTCGAAAGTGATGGGTTTAGTTTTTTTTATATGAACTTTAAATACAATAATGTTATTATATGTTTTTTTTTCGTATGATTATATAATAAGATAAAAAGATTGTTGCTCTTAGAGATGTTAAAAACCCCCGTGGGACCCCCGTTCCCGTGGGACCTTGATACCGTCGGGACTAATTTATAAAAAAAAAAAAACGGGAGTGAGAGCGGGAGAGGGGGATGGGATTAAACCGCGTTTATTTTCGAGATCAGGGTCAGGAGTGGGCATTTCTGTCCCGTACTCCTGCAGGGGCCCGTTTGTATGTTATAAAAAATATACTTAATATAAGATACATATAGAAAATAGATTATCTAGTTTTAGGTTTCCTACATTCCTTTTCCTTCCTCAATCCTACTTCATGCATACGACTTCATCCTTCACGTTGACTTCTCTCATCCCCTCTCTAACAAATTCCCGATTTCTCGATTGTACTCTCTAGCAATCACATCTTCTTCTCCGTATTAACTCCTCACAGTTCACAAACTACACTCATTGAGTCACTGAATCACATCCCCTTTATTGCAATCGAACGAGTCGGCAACAAGAGTACAAGACCACGAACGAAACGACGACAGAGTACTGCTCGACTTCACTTGCCGCCGTCTACTTGCCGACGACATACCTTCCTCCTCCAGAGCCAATGATCAGTTCTTATTGTCTCTGACATTAAGCACTCTTTTTTTTGTGACGGTTTTGGTAATTTCTTCTTTGGTCCAACTCAAACGAGACAATGATTTCTAGTCCAGTTCAGTTTTTTAGTTTGTATGATTTTCGGATTAATTTCTATTGATAGTGTGCTTATTTCAATTATGATTTCTGAATTGAAATTGAATTTTAGAAGTAGTGAATTAATTTATAAATTGATTTCTACCGAATTGATATTGGATTTAAGTTGCTCTAAATTGATGATTGTTGTGATAATTTTCAGTTTAGCTAACTTGATATTTGCTATGACGTTGGTGTGATTTAACTTTTGATGTTTGCTGTGGATTAGTTTATGAAAAGTAGTTTTTTTAAAACCCAAAATATAATATTTTTTAATAAAAATCAATTTTAAGCTCATAAACGGGGAACGGTGGTGGGATCGGGGTTAGGTAACCGAGGGATTCGGGGACGAGGCGATGAGAGCTATTTCCGCCCCGTTTGTTCCATTTACATCCCTAGTTAGTTCCTCTATGAATAGTTCTTTCATTCAATTTTGATTGAATTATTATTATTATTATTATTATTATTATTATTATTATTATGTACTATTAATTAAAAACTTGATTAACATAACTTTTTTTCTCTTTCGTATTGCCGCTTTAACTTCTCATTCTTACTTTAACACCATCATACTTTTACTATTTTGCCCTTTTATAACTTTCTCTTCACCGCTTTTAACTCCACCGACCACCGTCTTTCACTTCGCCCCTTTCTTCTTATCTCAATTTGCTCTTAATTTTGTCAGGAAAGCTTCCATGTCTCTTGCAATTTCCTGCGCTTCTCTTTCTTGCATCACTTTCAGTTTCATCTTCTGTCTTTCTCTACCTCTCTCTTTGTTCATCTTCTGTCTTTGATTTTGCCCTTGTCCGAAGACATTAACAATCCTAATAAACCTTATACACCCTTTGTACCATTGCTGCTTCTGTCGATCGTTTCGCCGCCGTTAGCCATCTTCTCCCCTGTGAAGCCACTGGCCGGAGACAAGTCGCACCCCACAACAACACCGGTTCGACCCCACAGCTAAGGTTCGTATTTGTTTCATTTTCATGATGTCAATTTTTTTCCTAGCTTTAATTCTTTTCACGGGTTTCTGTTAGATTATTTTATGGGTTCTATCGATTGATAAACGTTTGTAATGAAATTAGTTTACATTTTTACTAAATCGTAAATCCTATTAGTTTCTGCGATAAATCAAATCGATGTCGGGAAGACAAGATAGCGACTCCGATGTTCCGGAGGAATTCACCGCCGAACAGGTAGTTCTTCGTTTCATCGTTAAATGACAAAAAAAAAAAAAACACTTTTAGTTTGTCACTTCTGAATCAAAATTCCTAATTTGATTGACAGGCGATACAAAAGGACGAAGAGATAAGATCGATTTAGATAGAAAACAAAGCCAGATATGTCCATTGATTGTTGTTTGGGATAACACGGTCAACACCTGGAAAGTCGTTGATGTTCCCTCATGCCTTCTTACACTTACACTTCCAATTCATACTGACAGAGTTCATGCATGTTGATTTAAGGTTTGTCTCTTTTTTTCCTCTCCTACTTCTTCTCTGGAGTTCCATCTTCAACTACTCCATATTTTAGTCGGTTATTTTATTTTGACATAATGAACTCATATGTAATTTTGGACAAACCTTCTTTGTGAAAAAAGAAACTAATTTGGGGCTTATTATATATATATATATATATATATATATATATATATATATATATATTTTCATAATTGGCAGATTTGAAGATGCACAACAACTGCTTGATGAAATGCCTCAAAGAACTGGTAAGATTAGTTCTACTCCATCATTGACTACACAGGCTTCTTACACACTTTCATATTACTTTTTGATAATGATGATAAAAATAAACAAGCAGCCAGAGATTAAATAAATGTAGTTGTATTACAAATAGCATGGCTTACCAAGTTTCGAGTGTGAAAGGTAGATCACCAACAAAAACCTGGCAGTGTCTTAACAATTAAATTACTAGAAAGTATTCAGGTAAGAACATCTTCTATTTGTGTGGCTGCCCTTTCGTTTCAGGTATCTCTCTTGATTCTCCCTCTTGCATTTCTTCGATTTTTCTTTTTGGAAAGGAAGATGGTTAATGGTTAATGGGTTGTTTTGCTTCCTGCAGTTCATCGTTTTGAAGGACCAAAACTGATGCCTTGTGTTTCCGTTAGCTTTTTGGGCAAAATGGTTTATTGAAGGGGTTGCGATAGAAAACTCCCAGATATCTCTTTCTTTTCCAACCTACATACAAGTGCTTTCATGCTCCAGCACATATGAAAGAAAGGTCATTTTTCAAGTTATAATTACGAATTTACCCTTTTCATCCACATACCAAATTTTGAAAACATTGGTTTCAGCTCTAAGATTTGTTAAATATCTTACCTCAAATGCAAACTCTTTTACCACAAAAGAAAATTGAAAAAAGAAATCCATGAAACAAAGTTAGCATCAATTTTGATGATGATTCACATACATTTATGCTCTGAAGTAATGGAAACTTCGAAAAGCATATCAAATTTCATTTTGTTACACTTTCTTGCTAAGTATTAAAACTGATATTTTGTAGTTACCTTATTGATTACATGTTTATATAGGTGGTTATTTGTTTCTCTTTGACAGCAAGGTCCTGAGTTTTTTTTTTTTTTGTAAAGATGGTCATAGTTGGAGGAGAAAGAAAGACGGAAAAGCCCTTGGAGAGGCACATGAGGACGTAAAAGTTTGACCTCTTTTCATGTTCCTTTTTTATTACTTTCGATATTCTTGCTTATGTTAAAATCCTTTTATGTAGGTTGAAAATGTTGAAGGTTTGAATTGTTACTATGCACATGGTGAACATAATCAGAATCATTTTTTTGAGTTCAGTAACATAAGAAGGAAGTTATTTGTCATAATTATGAGCAATGGTACAAACAGAGCTTTCACGCTTTAAAAAAAATGACTCTAGATTTATTTAATTTGTGATTAGGATTCGAATCACATGCAAAAATTAGAGTTATTTTTATTGGTCTTCTTTGAATGTACATATCCATCTAAAGCTCTAAAACCCAAGACCCTCCACCAATGTTTATCCTCCTATAACAAGCTTACAGCTATGGACAAAAAAAAATAAAGCATTGTAGTTATCTGAATGTATGTCTCTCATGCTATGTTTCTTATGAGTAAGGAGCAATACAGGTTTCTTATGAGACTTATATAAACAGTGAGTTATTGTTTAGCATCCCTTTTAGACAGAAGGTCAAAATGGACATTCTCAAATTGACATTATTCATTCACTTGAAAATTAAGATAGATGTGGTCCAAACCAAAGCAGAAAATAAAAAAATAACAATAAATTAAAAAAAAAACAGCAGACACTATTCACAAAGGGGCCTCAGGTTTAATAGTTATATAAATTACGAATTTACCTTTTCTCATACACACACAAATAAATTTTTGAATTTTTTTCAATTTGTTATAATTTCAGATGATCCTAAACTAATAAGTGTGTATGCTATTGGGTGCCAAATTGAGTTAATCGAATCAGTTCAAACTCAGGTAAGCTACCATTTACTTTATGCTTTACTTTTATAAAATTAATTAATTTTTAAAGGTTAATACTGATCTCTTCCATTATTGTATAAATCTCAGGTTTTCAGTGAAATTGCTCCTGTAGAATACCGATTCACAAATCTATGACAATATGATTGTTTGGGATTTTTTTTGTAGGTTTGTTCCGGTTTGTGTTGGGTTTCTCGGAATTGAAGATTCTAAGGTCACCAATTTAAGTCGGTTTGTTTTTTTTGCTTAAACGGTTACTGATTACTCCACCATTTGCTAATTGTTTCAACTCCCCGGTTTTTCATGGACATGATTTCTTTTTTAAAACTTAAAAATTTGTTTATTTGAAAGAGTTTTGCTATTTAGAGGTTTTGTTGCTAATGTGCTAATGCAAGTTTATGCAAAGGTTGTAGGCTTATGATGAATCTGAGGTTATGGTTCTTAAAGGTGAACATAAACTCCGAATTCTCAAGTCTTTTTGCTGAATGAACAAGTATTCTAAATTTCTATTACTAGGTGTGTGGAATCTGTTATTTCAATGACTACAACAATTCCGAAAAGGTGTATAATTATCAAACATGATGCTTATCTTATAGGAACCAATTCTCATAGAAATCAATAGTAATTGATTACTCTGTTGTAGCTCTTCAATTTCAAAGTTCCATTAAATGTTATTGTTTTAACAATTCACTCAATTACGTTTTCCTAAACGAATCCGGTAACATATTCAATATAAGGGAAAGAAAGGGAAGAAGGTTTGGTACAAATTGAAATACGCAAAAAAAAAAAAAAAAAAAAAAAACACAGGCACAACTAATTCCACTCTAGTTATTATTATTTGACAAAACTTCAAAAATGGTCCATGTGGTTTTCAAAAATATCAAGTTTAGTCTTTAAGTTCAAAAAACCTCACAGATGGTCCCTATGGTTTCAAAACTTTTAATGTTTAGTCCTTCCGTCTAACACCATCAGTTTCTACCGTTAAGTGAGGGGTATTTTCATGATTTCAATACTCATGGACCATTTATGAGGTTTTCTATTTTTTTTTGGGTAAATTACACCGATCGTCCCTCGTGCAGGTGCCAAAAAGCACATTCAGTCCCAATTTTTAAAAATTAACTCGGACCGTCCCTCGTTTGATTTAACCTTGCACGTTTCATCCCTCAAAGACGAATTTATTGCGTACTGAGTCCTTGCTAAATTTTAAATGACCATAATACCCTTTTGTTTTTATTTTTACATTAATTTAACGTTTATATTATACTTTTCAATTAAAAAAAATAAATGCCCCTCCCTTTCACTTTCCCCAACCTTTCTGCCATTAACTATTACCGAGTGAAGAAAAACACATACACACATACATAGTCGATGAAAGGGAAAAAAGATCGATGAAAGGGAAAAAAGATGATAATTGTCGGACCATTACCGCCAAGCAATTATCAGTAACTGTAACATATTCACCAACCACCACCATCATCGATTATAGTGACAGATTGTGATGCGACTAAGGAAAAATTGATTTGGGAAAATCTTGAAGGAAAATGGTGGTGATGCTTGTAAGAAGAAACAGAGTTGTCGGAATCTACTATCACTACCACCAGAATCTACAACCACCACCACCGCAACCCTCCACCATCGACGGACCACAACCTTCCTCTTTTGTCTACAATCTGAATACTCCCTCTTTAATCTCCAGTGTGCATTCCAACGTTTCAGATCGACGCCGCCTAGGGTTTCAAACCTTCACCTTCATCTTTTCAGTTCTAAGATCGCCAAATCCGCCACACGCACTATCGGACTAGAAGCAACTAATGTACCAAACAGGATCCTACCCACCACTTGCCCCCTTTCGCTTGCAAAAAACACCCACAACCCACCAGCATAGGTAGGCGCCGATGGTGGAAGCATTGTTCCTGAAAACATCAATATCGTAAACCTCCCATGGAGCGTAACCGTGTTGTTCGAAGGATCTGCAGACTAATGCAAGAATGTGAGAATGAAGGTGTTGGGGCTATACCGGGTTACGATAATTCATGGCTCGATGGTAGTGATTTTATTGATGGTCGATGTCCGATCAATGGAGAGGAAGAGTGGGAGAGAAAGAGGGAGACAAAGCTGGGGAAAGGGAAGGGGAGGGTAAGTTGGGGTGTAGATATATTTTTTTTTCATTTTCTTTTTCAATATTAAAATGATAAGTAAATAAAAATAAAATTGTAAAAGAAGTTATTAAGGGTAAAATAGTCATTTTATGTCATTAGGGACTAAACGTGCAAGAAAAACAGAATCAAGGGACAGTCCGAGTTAATTTTTGAAAATAGGGACTAAACGAGCTTTTGGACACATGTACGAGGGACGAATGGTGTACTTTACCCTTTTTTTTTGAAAAAAAAAGAAATTTTTTTTTTAAAAGGGTCACACCCTCTCTCTCTCTCTCTCTCTCTCTCTCTCTCTTTGGATCCACCAGCACGCCTCCATCTTTTCTAGATCGTCTTCTTCCATTCTTTTTTCAATTCACTCCCTCAAGAAGTAGAAAGAAAAAGGGAGATAGACGCATAGTATGAAATCGAAATCCAACGATTTCATCTCTATCATTGCTTATGAAATCGAAATCCAACACAAGCATTTAAGGAAACGAAACCCACCTTCAAGGAAGTGTTTTTTGAAATCGAAAGTTGCAGTTCTTTTGAAATCGAAACCTGCAGGTTATGTAAATCAGAATTAAGGGGTAGGGGTGCTTCGTTTCTTTCGTGAGGTTACTGAAAGCTTGATGATTGATTCAGGATGAGTTGTTGATCGATTCAAGCATAAAGAGTATAGATATGAGGGATTGTTGTTCCTCACTTGTTATTTCTGTTTAAGTTCATGGATAAATCGAGGATCGAGACCCATTAAAAGGCACTTGGATCATATCATGTCAATCATCATAGGTACTTCAAAATCCCCAAATTCTTCCATCCTTATATGTAACCTATACACAAATTCATAGATAACTTAATTAGTTTTTATCAGTTCGAATATAAATGCATCTCAGTTGTAGTAATTAGAGTTTTGATTTTGATTTTGGGGGCATTAAATGAATCATTCGAGAGAGTGGCGATTTATGGATTCTTGCCAAACATGATACTCTATCTAATGGAAGTTTATCACATGAAAGTTGTAATCGGAACAAGCATACTCTCCGTCTAGTTAGAACTTTCAAATGGTCTCTTTATTTTTGGAGCTTTCATCACTGATTCTTAATTGGGCCCGTTTCAGGTCTCTCTCCACCCTTGTTGTAATTCTTCCACCTCCTATATTGATTTTGATTTTGGGGAAACAAAGTAATGATCCAATTAAGTTGTGAATGGGTAACTGGATAAATTGTTATCTGCTTCGATGGTATTCTTTTCCGATTAGACGATGGAATGATTGGAGGAAAAGGGAACGATGATAGGCTGCGGAAACGAGAGAGAGAGAGAGAGAAAGACCCTTAAATTTTTTTTTTCTTTTTTTTCAAAAAAATAAAATAAAAAACCTCATAAATGGTCCCTGAGTATTGAAATGACGAAAATGCCCCTCACTTAACGGTAGAAAACTGATGGTGTTAGACGGAAGGACTAAACATTAAAAGTTTTGAAACCACAGGGACCATTTGTGAGGGTTTTTGAACTTAAGGACTAAACTTGATATTTTCAAAAACCATAGGGACAATTTTTGAAGTTTTGTCTTATTATTGAGTAAATTATTGAAATCGTCTTATGGTTTGGTCAAAATTGCACGTTTGGTCCCTAACTTTTTTTTTTGGCACTCGGATCGTCCCTGTGGTTTGATTTTGTTGCGTTTTTCGTCTCTATGGTTTGGTAAAAAATGCATGTTTGGTCCCTAACTTTATGTATGTAAGGGACAAAAAATGCAACAAAATCAAATCATAGGGACGAAAAACGCAACAAAATCAAACTATAGGGACGATCCGAGTGAAAAAAAAAAAAAAAATTAGAGACCAAAGGTGCAATTTTGACCAAACCAAATACTGACTCTTTCTTTTTTTTTTTTTTTTTTTTTTTTTTTTTTTTTTTTTTAATACCTCTGTTAAATCACCGACATCTCTTCTATCTCTTTCTTTCTAAATGGTTCCCACCGTTATGGCTTCTCTACTTCTGATCGGTGCCTTCCAACGGCGTCTCCACCTTCATTCTTCTTGATGCCTCCGCTGCACCGGAATCAACCATTGGTAATCTGTGCGTGTTCAACAATCGATTTCAACCACAGATACAGCCGAAGCCCACATCCGAGTTCACGAATCGATTGCATCATAAATCTTTGGTTTCAAACATGGGTACACCACCGTTAAAAGTCCTAAAATCGATTATTTGTATTTCTGATTTCTCCTAATACTTTTGTCGACTCCGATCAAAAGCAACCACCTTTCTCCCCTATTGGAGTCGATGCTTCCCTGTGTCTCCATCTCCGCTCTCTACTGCATATCAATTCAGGCTTTTGAGGTGTTACAATAGAGCTCTATCGTTTGTTGTTTTTCTACCTGTAAATTCCCCTTGACACGTTCTTGGTTATTTTCTCAAAATATGTTGCTTAAATTCTTAACCTTTAACCGATTAGTTTGTTTTTTTCAGGTGTTTTGATTTCAGAATCACTCAATTCTACAGAAGAGATTAGGGAGTTACTCAAAGACTATGGTCTCCATTCCGATGAGTTCCTCTTTGAGCCTACTCCTTCACAGGTAAAGCAATCTGTTCTTTTATCTTGAAATTAACCTTTGGTAATTATATATTTTGAATGTAATTGTACATTGGAACAGTTTATTTTGTGAAACTTTTCTTAACGTACGTGTTCTCCGGGTAAAAAATTATCCTAATTTATTAACCCTAGCTTTTCAATGTAGTTGGTAGTTTACTGGTGTTTGTTTGTGATTTCTCTATAAAAATATGATGTCTACATCACCCAATCCACTTGGCAGTAAGGAAGCACATAGAGAGTAAACAACATCGAACCATGCGTACTTGATAGAATTCTTAATGTTCAATCTTGATTTATTGGCCTCTAACTAAAATGGTATGTATGTGTAGAGGAGGCGGTGGACGGCGTGGCGGAAAGAGTGGAAGAGATGGCGGAGCATTTCGTGGATGAAATAGGAAATGAATTGCCGGAAAAAGTTGAAAATATTGCTGATAAAATAGGCAAAGATGCTCACATGGTTTCTGACATAGTTGATAATAATCATAAACGTGTTATTTAATGAAAGGCTGACGAAGATCTTGTTGTTACATTGCTCTCAACTCTGATCAACAATGATGAAGTTGCATCAACAGCTCACTCATTTTTGGAGGCGAATAGTGGAGTTGATGTGTGCCAAAAGATTCTTCAAATATGGGATAGGTAACCCTCTCTTTTCATTTTTTTTTTTTTTTTCTTTCAAAATAGGTTAAATGAATAAATTAAAAAAACAAACCATGTATACTGATATTGTTTAAACTTTAAATGAAAGTAGGTTGAAGCCATCGACACAAGTAGTTTTGGCTGTGGCTTCGGAGATGAAAAAGCTGCAGAAACATAAAGACCATTTAAGGATTAATCTCACAAAAGCTGAAGAGGAGGTATTCTCATTTTACCTTTTTGTCACGAGTTATACAACCATGTTATGAAAATGTTGAAATATTAAACAATTATGATGCGAGTAGGTTATAGTCTTGTGTGATGAAAACATCTTAGACAAAGAAAACGCCATATTCTTGATTCTGGTGGGAAGCATAGCAACGATCCAACAAGGTAACACACTGCAACCCACCCAGTTTAGTTTGTTACACAAGACAGGACATAACAGAACAGGTTGTCTAGTGTTTGGCATGCATTGGACCGAGACCGGAACTGATTTCAACAACACTCATTCTGAATCTCAAGTTTGTGCAAAAGACGTAAATGCCCAGTCTCATAATCATGATCGCCGAAATGATTAATTATGCTTTTGATGTAATTTTTGTTTTAGGTGCAAAATCTTAAACGAAAATCAAGTCCGTGTCCTAAAGAGGGAAGTCCCATTGAGAAGAAAATAGACTTCAGTGATGCTGCTGGGTCACCAAGGAAACCACTGTCTCCATTGTTGCATAACAAGTAACATTTACAAACTATTATCAACTCTTGCATGGATTATTTTTAGAGACGTTTTTTTGTTGAAATCCTACATCATTAATATGATCTAGGATTGTAGAAACGACGTTTTTACAAAGATTTGTTTGAAAATTTTTGTTGAAATCTAATTTTGTAAGAGTCTTTCTAGAATCTTTGAAAACTTTGTAGAATTTTGATCTTGAGATCTTGTGTAGGTATCAAGATCCTTTTCAGAAAAAAGATTGTTTCAGAGGTTATAACTAACTAGGGGTTGAACTTCCAACTGATGCAGCGGAAAACCTTTTGGAAAGGTTGTAATTAGTTTTGAAATCGGACGATATTTAGGGTATCAGGTTCGGTGGAAAATGATATAAAGGAAAACTGATTTTGAGACTGACAATGTATTTGATATATGTTGGATCGAGACAAATTTATATCACAAATAAAAGTAAGACATTCTCAACAATATATTTGAATAATACAAATAAACATATTTTATAACAATATTAAAAAACGTAGTTTATAACGATTAAAATATGTCAAGTTTAAATGTTTGAAATTAGACTAAGCAGTTAAATTAGTTAGAATAGTAAAATATTGTAAAATTGAAATGGTCTCAATGATTTATTCAGATTTATATTGAATTAATTACGAAAAACTTATTTAGAAAAAAAAAACAACGTAAGTTATAAAAATATAGGGAAATGGATTTTGAAAATATGTCATTATTGTATAAATGGTCTCAATAATATATTCAGAAAGACTGATTTATAGGCCCCTGTGATAATAAAAGTCACATTTTAAAACAAAATGATAAATATATATTTAAAAAAGGACAGAACTATCATTTACCACCAATATAAGGCAAAACTTTTAAATTTTAACGGCATAAGGACCACCACCATAAAATAAAATGTTTTCGGAACGAAATTCATAACGTAACATACAAGAAGACCAAATATGTAATTTTGCCAAAATTAAAGAAAATTTGGCACAATCGATCTTGACTATGGCACACTAACAAAAATCCTTATTATAATGAACTATATTATGACATAATAGTTGAGAAGTAAAAGATTTCAAATTTAGAATATCGGCATTGGGTTGGTGTCTGATGTGTGTTGATGTTGCGTCGTGAGTACGATCGAGCTTTGAAAATGGATTGTTTTTATCGGGCTGAGTGAAATCCAACTATTCAAGTCCAATAAACCAATTTAAACGGTCTTTTATCGGTTCTATCATATCGGTTCAACATGGTTTTTGTAGAAACCGTCCGGTTCAATCCAGTCTAGATGTTGACATAAAATCGGTCATTGTTAAACTCATTTCTGGTTCCAGTTCGAACGGCCAATTCAAACGGATCTTTAAAACATTAGTTATACAAAATTAAGTTTTTAGAAATGGATGATTTGAGATATTTTTGCTATTCGAATTATAATAATCTTTATAATAAAATGTTTTCCAAAAGATTATATTATGAACTGACATATTACATATAATATATGAATCATATTCTTTAAGATCAATATATCATATAAATATTTTATGTTAGAACTTTATAAAAATGTATAAATTGTTTTGACAATACATATCAAGATTACATATTTTTATAGACAATATTACAAAAATGATCCCTATGGTTTGCCAAAAGTAACAAAATTAGTCCTTATTAATTTTTTTGATGCAAATGGCCCCTATGGTTTGCAAAACTTGCACAGATGGCCCTTTTTACTAACGTTGTTAGTATTCAGCCGTTTGGGACTGAATTAGCAAGGGTATTTTCGTCTTTTCAAGTATAAAAGGACTGGATTCACAACTTTAGGTAAACTATAGTGATCATTTTTTGTAATTCTTTCTAAAAATGATAAGAATGATAATAAATGAGGGGAGAAGGATTCGAACTTGGGACCTCCTTCCTCCTTCTTATTCAACCAAAGTTCTAACCAACTAGGTTACAGCTAAACTTTTTATTTAATTCCGAAAATTAATTAATATTATATATAAACGTAAATAACTAATAATAAAAAAAATTTAAAAAAAAATTAATAAAACAAAATATATTTTTAGCGTATTGTAAAAAAATATTTTTTACAAAAAGTTTACTTTTTTTACGTATTTGTTTTACATAAATTTTTTTTAATGTATTTAAAAAAAATACGTTTTCGTATACTATGTTATTACATTGCTATAATCCCAAAACGACTTATATTTTTACGTTTTAAGATCAAATCAAAACGACTTATATTTTTTACGGAAAACAAACTAAAGACGATAACATCAAGTAAAAATGCGTTTTTTTACATAAAAATGCGTTTTTTACGTAAAAATGTGTTTTTTTACGTAAAACATATTAAAGACGTTCTTCTTTACATGTGAGTGATTGATCCCTCACCCATATAACGTTTTTTTTACTTAAAAACGTTAACGTGATGACATATTATATGAAAACGTATTTTTACGTTTTCTTTACGTCAAAAATATAAGTTGTTTTGATTTGATCTTAAAACATATTTTTACGTTATGTGTGACAAACCGACATTTTGAGACAATATAATGTAACACCAGTCAAATTTAGATCAAAATATAACTTTCCTAAAATATTATTTGGGTTACATAAAGTAGTAGGAATTGTATCAAGGTTGTCGTACATATAAAGAACACTAAAATCCGAATTATAACGAAGAAGTTATGACCAATCTAAGATTCGCGGCAAAAACCGGCAACGCTGATAGATGTAAAACGCAAAGTTTCGATACAATAATTTTTAGCCTTAGGTATCTAAACGAAAGTCGTAGATTACGTTAAACCGTGATCATGCATAAAAAAGAACGCCCAAAACGGACTTCGTATGAAGAAGTTACAAATTTTCAAAGTTTCGTAACAGTGGTAGACAGCTAAAACCTCGAAATAAAGATCGAGCGATTTTTAGCCAACACAACCTAAACGAAAGTTGAAGACCCCGACAATAGGAGTTCAACAGTAAAAAGTCTGACAAAAATGGACACCAGATGAAGGAGTTATGGATTTTTAACGAAGTTATCGTGTCCCGGCCTATTAATTAAAATATAATTAAAAATAAAGTCAAAAATAGCCGACAAAGTCTAAATGACAGTTGTAGAGTATTTTCTCACCTTCGCGTGGATATAAAGAACGTCAAAAATGGAGCCCGTATGCGAAAGTTACGGATTTTACAAGTTCGTGGCACGCACACCGAAACGATTTACGCCCAGCGTACTCGGATACTAGGCTCCGGATCGTCCACGTCGACCAGACACTTCGCCCGAGGATGCGGTCAGTAGTGATGCAAGCGAACGCCCAGCGTACGAGGTACGCCCCGCGTAAGTCCGAAGTACGCCCAGCGTACCGAGGACCTCCAGCTCCTATAAATAGATTGCGAGGGTGCCGACTGCTTTTGCTAAAATTCTTCATTTCTCTCACTTTTTCACCTCGTTTTCCATGCCGACGACATCCCGACTTCCCGGTTTCAAATCTAAGCCCCGACAAAGGTCCGAAGCCCCGAGATTCCCGAGAATCTCGTCACTTTCCAGTTGAGGTGCCGCCCAGGAAAATCTTGTTTTCTTCAAATCATGCGCTTTCTTCGGTGAGTTCATACCCCTATAAACTACATTTTTAAATGTGGTATCAATACTTTTTATATACACTTTTAAGGGGGGAATACAAGTAAAGACACGATTATTATCGTGTGTAACCCAAAGTTTCACTAAATACTCATTTTTATCAAGTAAATCATATGTGATTTATAACCACTATATGGAACCCTTCGTACGCAAAATATATCACGATATCATCTTGTCTCTTGAAATTAAATATGTTGTTATACATATAAGAATCAAACATTGTAATTATACTTTGAGTATATGTGTTCATTTATGTCACCACAAAAGTTACACATTACATAACAAGTGAGCATCACACTATGGTTTGCTATACAAACAAAACAAACTTTTGGAAAAACTATAATAGTTTACGACAAAATTTTTTACATGTTAAAAACTCTTTATCAAATTGTCTTACATACTTTATGTTTCTTTTCAAATGCTGTTAAAATCGTATTTCAAACAAAGGTCTACTTATACTTAAAATTGTTCTTATCAAACAAACTATTTTCAAATCGTTTTATAAACTGACATCAAGTCAATATTTCTTATTTATTAAACTTCTTAAAGGTTATACAAAACTTCTTTTATATTTTTTTATTGCCAAATGCATGCCTATACATGTGTAGTTATATATATATATATATATATATATATATATATATATATATATATATATATATATTATGTATACACATATAGACATAAAAGTTTTCCATCAGTTGGTTTAGTACCTTTGGGTAGCAAAGGCATATTTCGGTTATACACACACTACTAGTAACTATAATAGGTATAGTTAAGATATACTACTTATCATTCCAAGTACAAGGAATCACACAAGAGTCAGTTTATTTATGAGTCCATACAAATACATTACATACTATATGAAGAGATACGATTACAAACAATTACAAGGCATACAATTACAAAGCATACAATTTCGAGACATACAATTTCAAGAGATACAATTACATAAGATAGTGTACTAGATATTCATGAAATTTACATACTACAAGTACCATATCAAAGAGATATTTTCATATACACGAACAAATGGACATTTTCATACGTAGATATGTTTTATACTAGGTTGTGAGACACTTCACGTACTTTCGAGTATGCATTATTAAGTCCTGTATTATATACCACAATCCTTTGTAGGGGGAGCGTGATACTTGTGTATAGATCTATACGGGATTGACAATCCCACACCTAAGTTGTTAGCTACAGCTAGGCCGGCAGGCCTGGGGTGACAAACGTCATAACAATGTTAACGTCTGAAGAACGTTGTTACAGACAGTCTGGGTCATTAGCATGATTATAAAACTCACATGGAGTATTAAAAACACATTGATTTACGAGGTTATCAAATACCTTAGCAATTATATATGTACACAAATCTACTATTTTAGACATGAAAAACATCATGGTAGTACATTTTTGGGACTTTTAAACTACCACCCACTTATAAACAAATAGTGGATTTTTGAAGCAAACATTCAAAACAGTCGAGTCTTAGTAAAAAGCTACATTTTATACTAGTAGAAAATATGGGATTTTCTAGGATTTTCAAACGTTTACAATTACTTACAAACATATTCGCTGGTACAAACTTTCCTTCAAACATTTATAGGTCTTTCTTTACAACTTTACGAATCAAAGTCACATAAATACTTATGAATTCACCAGCATTATTGCTGATACTCGCTTTCAAAATAACTTGTATTCCCAGGATATGGATAGACAGGTACGACTACTAGGCTCTGTGAAGACGGAGCGATCAAGACTCGTCTTTTATTTTTGAATATTCATTTTGTAGAATTATACTATGAATGAACTCAAATGTAATTA